ACAACAGAAACTTGAACATGTTTGGTTATCACTGAACAACCGCGGCTCCTTTTATCCTGCTAAGCCAGCCGAGTGACGTGACTTGCTCCTACTTTGAAAAGTGTTATGAGACCTTTAGGAAAGTATGTAATGGCCGCCTTTCAATAGGCCGGTATGTAATATTAGGAGGACGTCTATGCAAACCCCACAGAGCAACTACATTAAAAAATTTCTCTGGCAGGTAATCTCTTTCGCTTCACGTTGTCTTCTTTTCTTTGTCCAATACAAAACGTAGGTGTACCAGCTCTTTTGAATCAGGTAGAGTCATTTATTGCCGATAGCTAAGGAAGAACAGGAGCATCAACAAAAAAGTGTAACGTATAATCATATTCTGGGTAAATATTGGAGTTTCACGATCACTTTTTCAAAAGTGCTGTGTGCAGTATTACCCTAAATTTCGCAAGCATGATGCGAGATGCGTCATTTTTCCCGTGCACAGAGAAAGACGCACTCTAGTTTCGCACTCTCTGTTAGTGAGACACCCTGTTAGACAGTTGCTCAGGTTATACGCTTTTCGCTCTTACATTAGTTGTGCGATGGCGGCTTATGTCGCTTGCAGTCATCGCCCAGTTCACCGCTTGAAAATGATATCATTGGTTGCTACGCTGCTGTCTGCGTTTCTCTTGAACCGATCTATTCCGCCTGTGTTTTCTTTCGCTCAAAGAGCGGAGTAACCCGTATGGCGTCCTAAATCGACTGCAGAAAAGCCTTTATTCGTTAGGCTTTTCAGTCTTTTTGCATTTTCTCTTCATTGTTGTGCCACATGGCCTACACCTTATAATGGATTTTACCCCTCCTCCTTCTGCTCTCCCCTCTCGAATATTTTCCAGTTTTCAAATGACCATCTCCTGCTATTATAGGAAGAGCTTTTTTTGCTCTGCATTGAACAAAATGATCATAAGTATCGAATCATAGTAGAAGGACTCCGAAAGAGAGCCTTTCTCTTCCCTTTTTGTCTTTGATTACTTTTGCTTGGTGGAAATCTAGGAGGGTCCACTCCATTGTTTTCTCCTATACCTGGGGTAAGAAAGAGAGCGTTCGTACCATGTAATCGCTCATTACTGGTGTGCTTCTGATAAGTACTGTAGGAGCACCCATAAGGTGCTTTCACGATTTGGCCCGCAATGGTTCAACGAAACGGTCCTGAATCAAGGGTATGGAAAGCTTTTCTTCATCCTGAAGGTGGGGTATCAGATGGTGTCCACCAGTCCTTATCAAAAGTGCGCTTCAAATGAGTCGTCTACATATTTCCTTACCCTTGGTCTTAGAGAGCCGTAGGAATGCTTTCCAGGACCAAGGAAAAGATACCAAGGAGTGCCCCTCAAAGTTGGATTTTTACTTTTTGCTTTTCGTCGTAATTCACGATGCATTTGCCTTCATATTCTCGTGTCACGGCAACGCTATTGGTAAGTGGTGGAAATTGGTCAGTGTGGACTGGAATGCAAGATCGTCAACTCGATTCCGCTAAGAACACCTCTAGTCTTTATTATTGCTTGAGTTTCGTAGAGCCCCAAGCACAGTATAGACTACGCATGATTATAACTGCATTGCCATCGGACTCCTCCGGAAGCTGGCTCTTACAAAGCATGCTGTTCCTCTGCACCTCTATACCTCCCTGTATGAAAATTGTGCTTGCTGAAGCAGTGGTGCGACTGCCCTTCACGCTCACAACATCCTTGCTTGATCACCGGCGCGATTTATCCATAAAGGGAGAACGAATGTGGTTGAATGAACTTTTTATACTTTCACACCTTTACTTATTGCGCTACGTTTTCCTATGTTATTGCACGGTGCCAGTTCATTTAGGTTCCCTTGTTTCTCAAATGCATAATCGTTCCTAGAATCATTTGAATAAGGGTACGATCACTGGGTGATCGTGGCTTACTTAACCGGCTACTCAGCTACTCCAGAATCATTGAGCACTTCCCCGCATTCGCTTTCCATTGAAACTACACACGCGGCTTACTAGGGTGGGTTGTCCAATTTCCAGTCCAGCGCTTATCCACCCCTAGACAGATTTTTTTTATCATGATCACGTCAGAGCGTGGAAACCTTGTAGGTCTTGAGCAGATTTAATTCGTTGGCCCAGATAATTGCAACCCCTGCTTCTGCCTATCAAAATTGATCACATTATCAAGTAGCCCACACCGATGTGCAGGGTTTTTGTTATTAATGTTGAACTGCGCTTGATAATGATGTCAATTTCAGGTCAGGTTTCTTACGATCCCAGTCGAAGTCGCAAGTGACACAGAAGACATCACTGATGTATTCACCGAGTTCGCGTGTGCGATCGTCGACCGAGTCGGAGATGATCCTGATGAAGAAACGCTCTCGTTCTGAATACAGCACAACGACAGTGAATGGTGAAAGCACCCAATAAGATATCACTGATGGACAATTTCACTTGCGGGTCTCTGCTTCAACGATTCATTTCTTTTCACATGACATAAACTAAGAGCTTCAAAAACAGTGTGATACGCGATTTGGTTGCCTGCGGGATATGCAAGTTGAAACTGCAAGTGGTGCCGCCTTTGAAAAGAGAGGCAGACCAAACCCTGAGATGAGACCCTTACTTTCCCGGCTGATTTTGGCACCGACGAGACGCCACATTAGGCTAGCATCGACAGCAGGAATGGTGCACTATGCCTG